AACGGTTACTTACCTTCTGTAACTGTTGTTCTTCGAGATGTGTTGTTCACGTCCATTACACTTCCCACCCTCCTTCCCCTCTGTCGGAGTCTCCGGCAAGAAGGAACCGAAGGGGTTGGGTCTGCAGGGATATATATACCCTAGAGCGGGGCGCCGCTCTGGCGGAGGGGGGGGGGGCCTGCCGACCCGACGGGAGCCGCTAAGGGAAAAAGTTTCCGACGTCCATGCACGCGGCACGCACACACCTAATGTGTAATGGACGTGAACAACACATCTCAAAGAACAACAGTTACAGAAGGTAAGTAACCGTTCTTTATAAAGGTAAGTAACTTCCCTTTGTGCATTTCTCTGGATTCCCCTCAGTCTCTCTCCTGCATCCCCTTCGTTCCCTTCTGGTCACAGCCACAATTCACATATTGAATGTACTTGATGACCTTGCATCAACCAGAATTGTAGTCTTGTTTAAGATCTTGTCAAAGTAATTTGATATCAGTTTTCTAAGCAAGGGGAAAAGCAGCAAGAGACTTTCTACAGAGTCAGAAGCAGGAGAGAACGTCTCTTAGCTTCTGTCTGTATAGAATCTTTCTTGCTTCTTTCTTTGCTTGACATCTTGCTGATGGTGTGGCTGATGTGGTTAGGTCCTATGATGGTGTCCCTTGAATAGATATGCAGACAGAGTTGTTGCAGGGGTTTGTTGCAGGGTTTGGTTCCTGGGTTAGTATTTTTGCTGTGTGGTGTGTAGTTTCTGGTGAGTATTTGCTTCAGGTTGGGGGGCTGTCTGTAAGTGAGGACTGACCTGTCTCCCGAGGTTTGAGAGAGTGAGGGATCATCCTTCAGGATAGGTTGTAGATCCTTGATGATGCGCTGGAGAGGTTTTAGTTGGGGGCTGTTGGTGACGGCTAGTGGCGTTCTGTTACTTTCTTTGCTGGGCCTGTCTTGTAGTAGGTGACTTCTACTTCTTCAATTCTGTCCGCATATCTATTCAAGGGGCACAATCATAAGACCTAACCACATCAGCCACACTATCAGGGGCTCGTTCACCTGCACATCTACCAATGTGATATATGCCATCATGTGCCAGCATGCCATGTACATTGGCCAAACCAGATAGTCTCTACACAAAAGAATAAATGGACACAAATCTGACATCAGGAATTATAACATTCAAAAACCAGTAGGAGAGCACTTCAGTCTCCCTGGTCATTCAATAACAGACATAAAAGTGGCAATTCTTCAACCAAAAAACTTCAAAAACAGACTCCAGTGTGAAACTGCAGAACTGGAATTAATTTGGAAACTGGACACCATCAAATTAGGCCTGAATAAACAGGGATTTGGAGCAATCAAATTTTTGAATTGCTCCGCTCCAGCTCTGGGTAAAAACCTACTGCTCCACGCTCCAGCTCCAGACTCCGCTCCAAAGCTCTGTGAATAAAGACTGGGAGTGGATGGGTCATTACATAACCTAATTTCCCCATACTAATTTCCCCCTACTGTTACTCACACCTTCTTGTCAACTGTTTGAAATGGGCCACCCTCATTACCGCTACAGAAGTGATTTTTCCTCCCTTGATATTCTACTGTTAATTGAATTGTCTCATTAGACTGACCCCCACACTTGGTAAGGCAACTCTCATAGTACAGTGGGTTATTAGCTACACACCAAGATGACAGATCTTTTTCTCTAATGCAGCCATCAACTTGAACTTTATGCACAGAGAGCCTCTTCTGTCGACAGGCAGGAAACAGAATGTGGCCCCTAAGGGATGTGTCATAATAACTGTTCCATCATTGGTCAGCATCGTTGCTTGTGTAGAACTATACCTGGAGAAAAAGCTCTTACACTCACTCAGACTCCCGTTAGCATGTGTTGTTTCCTCACTCAGGAGTTTGTTTTGTAACTAGTTTATATGCCTAGCATAGCAAGTCAGTATGGTTCCTTGTTAACAGGGAAGGTCTTAACAGCTCAGACTTCAACCACCTAGCCTGAACAAAGGCCCAGATCCCCATGGCACTGAGAGAGACAAACAGATCAAACATACAATTCACTAAGTCAAATCAAATTGCAGGTTCTGCAGCTGCTACTCAAACTTCCCTTAGCCTCTCCTGTTTGCCTTAGGTCTTAACATGAGTACAGTACTTAAAATTTTTGTTCAGGACCTATTTTCCTGTGACCCGTTTTCTAAGATTTATTAAAAAGGTAATATTAATCGTCTGGAGAGCACCCATTTGTTATATAATTTCTTATTTTTTTTATTGCTCCTTTAACTTTCTTAAGCTGGATGTTTTTTAACCAAGGTAATATTTTTTCAACACTATTGATTAGTTGTTTGGTTTGTTTTGCTTTGTCAGGTTTTGATGAACTAACTTGTTACTGTGGTGAGTCGGTAATTTATCCTCCTGTTCCTTGTGGTACTCAGCCACCAGAATGTAAAAACTCATGTACCAGACCACATGAATGTGATCATCCAGGTAAGTCATAGGTATGCCCACATAACTTTTTAAAATTGTCTAGTGTCTAAATTTTTCTGTGTTCTCAGACTTATTGTTTCTTCTTCAAGTGATTGCTCAGGTGTATTCCACAGTAGGTGTGTGTGCTCGCCACGTGCACCAGTGCTGGAAGTTTTTCCCTTAGCAGTATCCGTACTGGGGGAGCGCTGCTGCGACCCCTAGAGTGGCACCTCTATACTGCGCTATAAGGGGAGCTGCGCACTCCCCCCACCCTCAGTTCCTTCTTGCTGCCATTGAAGGTAGTCGGAACTTTGTGCTCCAGCTCTGCTGCAGCATTCTCTTCTCGACCTTAGTGGTACCTTTCATGGATTGTTTCTTCAGTTGTTAGAGTGGGCTCGGGGCATGCCTCTTGCCCCAGGTTTCAAGTCGTGCGACTCCTGTCGCCGTTCTATGCCTAGGAGTGATCCACACGCTGAGTGTCTCCACTGCCTGGGTGAGACTCACATTAGCAACCGTTGCAAGATCTGCAGGTTGTTCAAGCCAAGGACCAAGAAGGAGAGAGACATTAGACTTCGAGCTCTCCTGATGGAGTCGGCGCTGGCCCCAATGCCGGTACACCATTCAGACTCGGCACCGGTCGTCGGTGCGGAGCGAGGCCCCTTCGACCAGTCGGCACCACTCTCCCTCCAAAAAGCAAGGGAAGAGCCCAGCCTCGCAGAGGCACCGTGGCAAGGAAAAGGGGGAGGCTGGTCCTGCGCTGGGCAGCCCTCGATCCCTTCTGGGCTCAAGGCCTCTGACTCGTGTGGAGCGGAGCAGCCCAGCACTGTCGGCCCGTGCATCCCCACCGGTACGGATACCGTCGACGCCGGAGGCGTTGCAGGCTGCGAAGGACATTATGGACCTGCCAGTCCCGAGCATGGGCCCCAGGTCTCGTGGCAAGCCTCCATTGCATGCCCACCTGACGTCTCCAGCCAGCCGCGGTTCCCACTCCGAGGATCGCTCCCCGCACCACTCGGCATGCAGTGGTCGCTCATCTTGCAACTCCCACCCACCCTCGACACCGGCAGACCATCCGGGTCGCCGTCAGGACGGGAGTCGCAGGGACCCTCAACACCGCCTGCCAGCGAGCGTAGGCACCAAGAGAGGCACCGGGAGCGCTCGCCTCCACGGCGTGGATACCGCAGCCACTGTCGACGGGATCGACGTTGTCGTTCCCATTCCAGCTCCCTATCAGCTAGACGTCGCACTCGACGGGTCAATGGCAAGGGGCCCTGTGGCAAGGACAGTGGTGCCAGTGGGCACCGTGGCCACCGATGCCAGCCCAGATGGGGGCTCGTTTGGTCATCGGAGCATCTCAGGCTCCATCAGCCTCGTCCGGCCACCTACGGGACAAGTCAGCGGGTCACGAGTCGGCGGACCCGTGCCTGGATTCTGATCTGGGGCTCAACGCCCTGGCACTGACCGAGGCTCCCGGCTTCGTGCGGGACCTCTCCCCGACACCAGACAACACCATAACGGAGCCTCCACCTTCAGTCCCACAGGAGGACTTCAAGGCAAACCAAGACATGCTAAAGTGGGTGGCATCCAGCCTCCAGCTGCAGGCCGAGGAGATGGAGGGTCCGTCCGATTCCCTCTTCAACGTCCTGTCTCCCTTGGCACTGGGCCACGTGGCCCTGCCACTGCACCAGGGTATTGCCAACATCTCCAACACCCTGTGGCAAACACCTGCCTCCTTGGTCCCTATCTCCAAGAAGATGGAGAGGAAAGACTTTGTGCCGGCCAAGGGCTACGAATACCTCTATTCCCACCTGGCACCCGATTTGCTCGTGGTGGAATCAGTAAACCACAGGGAGCAACAGGGCCAGCCTGCGCCCACCCCCAAAAATAAGGACACCAGATGGCTGGACTCCTTTGGGAGAAAGCTTTATTCCTCTGCAAGTTTCCAGCTTAGAGTAGCCAACCACCAGGCCTTACTGAGCAGATATATGACTTCAACCTTTGGGAGTCTCTGCCTAAGTTCAAGCCCCTCCTCCCAGATTGGGATAGGAAAGACTTCAAGGTGCTGGTGGAAAAGGGGGCAGCGGCTGCTAAAGCGGCCCTGGATGCAGCTGACACTGCGGCCTGCTCGATGGCTTCTGTGATTTCCATGCGCAGGGCATCGTGGCTCGTGTTGTCAGGACTGTTGACAGAGGACCAATCCCTGATGCAGGACCTCCGTTCGATGGGAAGGTGCTCTTTGCGGACCAGGTGGCCGTCAGGCTGCATGGAATAAAAGATTCCCGCACTACCTTGCAGACCTTGGGCCTCTACGTCCCTCTGGCCAAGGACAAGGCCAAATAGCTTCCGGCGGCTCAACCTGCGAGTAGCAGATACGAGCCCCTGTATAAAAGACCCAGAGACCAGAAATGCCAGTCTCAGCGGTAGTCCCGCTCTGCCCCGCAGCCTGGGCCCTCCAAGGGCAAGAGGCAGGGAAAGAGCTGTTTTTGACTATTTGCAGGGGGGCACTGGGCCTGTTACCAGGAGACCCCCCTCCCCACCCCGTTTAATAAAGTTTGTGTTCTGCAACTGATTGTCTGCCTTCCACGAGGCGTGGTCCCACATAACATCGGGTCAGTGGGTTCTCAGTACCATTTCCAAGGGCTACATGTTGCAGTTCACCTCACCCCCGCCAAATCACCCGCCCTCCATGATGGCCCCGGGGGGACCCGGAGCATGTCCGCCTCCTGGGGCAGGAGGTGGACCGGCTTCTGCACCTGGGGGCGGTGGAAAGGGTACCCGTGGAATTCCAGGGCAAAGGGTTCTACTCCACATTCTTCCTGATCCCGAATGCCAAAGGGGGCCTCAGGCCCATCCTTGACTGGGGGACCTAAACCAGTTTCTAATCTGTTCCAAGTTCTGCATGGTGTCTCTGGCCTCTATTATCCCTTCCCTGGACCTGGGGGACTGGTACGTGGCCCTAGACCTTCAGGGCGCGTATTTTCATATCCATATTTTCGGAGGCGCTTCCTCCGCTTTCTGGTGGGGATGGACCACTACCAGTTTGCGGTCCTCCCGTTTAGCCTATCCACGGCACCCAGGGTTTTTACGAAATGTATGGCTGTGGTAGCGGCCTACCTCAGGCGGGAGGGTGTACAGATCTTTCCTTACCTGGACAACTGGCTCCTCAAGGGGGAATCCTGCTCCGAGGTAAAGATCCACATGGAGCTGCTCCTATCAACATGCGCCGGTCTCGGCCTAGTGGTGAACGAGACCAAATCAACATTAGTTCCCGTTCAGGACATAGAGTTCATTGGGGTTCTGCTGGACTCCTCGAGGGCCACAGCCTCTCTACCCCTGGACAGGTTCGAGACCCTAAGGGATCTCATAGTCTCAGTCACAGCTTTCCCGGTGACCACAGCGAGGGTGTGCCTTTGAATTCTGGGGCACATGGCGGCGTGTCCGTACGTGGTCCGCCATGTCAGACTCCGTATGAGGCCCCTCCAGATCTGGCTAGCCTCCCAATTCTCCCAAGCTCGGGACGGCCTAGACAAGATGTTTACAGTTCCGTCCCCGATACTGGGTTCCCTTCAGTGGTGGTCTTGCCCAAGCAATATGCTGCAAGGAGTTCCCTTCTGGGATGCCAGCCCGTCCATAGATCTGGTGTCCGATGCTTCGGACCTCGGCTGGGGAGCCCACACAGGGAATGTGCAGACCCAGGGAACGTGGTCGACTCTGGACTTGTCTCTTCACATAAATGTCAAGGAGCTCAGGGCGGTGTGGTTCGCATGCGTGGCTTTCCTCACGCACCTCCGCGGCAGGGTGGTCAGGATCCTCATGGACAACACCGCCGCCATGTACTACTTCAACAGGCAAGGCGGGACTCGCTCTTTAGCCCTCTGCTGGGAAGCCCTGAACCTACGGGAGTTCTGTATAGCCCACGATATCTCCCTGAGGGCAGCCCACCTCCCGGGCGTCCGCAATACGCAAGCAGACCGCCTCAGCAGGGTCTTCTCCCCCCAGTACGAGTGGTCGCTCCACTCAGAGGTCGCTCACCAGCTCTTCCGGAAGTGGGGAGTCCTCCAGATCGACCTGTTCGCAACCCGCCAGAACCGGCGTTGCCCCCGGTTCTGCTCGAGGGGAGGGGTGGGGAAGGGCGCAAGCTCCGATGCATCTCCTCTACGGTGGTCTCATAGACTCATAGACTCAT